ATAAGGGGTGCCAGAGGTGGGAAGCCTTTTGGGTGGGCGGGGGGCTTCTCAGAAGGCAGCCGTCTTCTTCGAAGGGCGTAGAGGCTTCAAAGAAGGCTGCTTGTGAACCAGTGAGGCTTCGAAGAAGCCACCTGCCGTCTTTGAAGCTCCCCCGCCTTGTTTTGGAGGCGCTTCTCCGCGTCGCAATTCTGGCGCTGCACGTGCGCGGCACCCGCTCCCAGACAAGCGTAGCCCGAGCCTCGCGTCACCCCTGGGGACACCGACGGCAACCCCTGCGGTGGAGGGCAATCAATGGAACGGATGTGAGTCTGGAAATGGAAGGGTCTGTTGCATTGCGTCGGGCGCCGCTCCCTAAACTGGAGCTCGCCCCTTGAAGAGCGGACGTGTGCCAAAATGGCTCGAGGGAGGAAGCTAGGTAACGACGACGACGACGACGACGACGACGACGACGACGACGACGACGACGGCGACGGCGACGGCGACGGCGACGGCGACGGCGACGGCGACGACGACGACACCGAAGACGACGACGACGACGACGACGAAGACGACGATGACGACGACGGTCGCCCCAACGACGACGACGACGACGACGAACACCACAACGACCCTGGCGACGACGAACCACGACGACAACAACCACAACGGCCACCACCACAACAACCACCAGGTCCACCAAGACCACCACGACGACAACCAACCACCAGGACGACCACGCCGTCTACGACCACCCATCGCGACGACGACGACCACCACCGCACACCACGACGACTTCCATGACCACCAACCACAACGACAACGACCACCAGCGACCACCACGACGACGGCCACGACGTCCACGTTCACCTATCACCACGACGACGACCAACCACCACCAGAATCCACCACGATGCCCACGACGGCCACAACGGCAACAATGGCCACGACGGCCACGACGGCCACGACGGCCACGACGGCCACGACGCCCGCGGCGGCCACGACGGCCACAACCACAACGACGACGACGACGACGACGACGACGACGACGACGACGACGACGCCAGCGGCCGCGGCGGGTAGGCGCCTCGGCCGGCGCCGCCCCGCCGCCCTCCGGACGCGGAGCCGCGGACACCGGCAGCGCCGCGCGGAGCGGGGCGGCGCCTGCGCGCCGGCAGGGGCGCAGCCGCGACGGCGACGCCAACGACGACCATGGCGACGCTGACGACGACCTTGGCGACCTCGATGGCCCCGACCACCACGACCACGACCACGACGGCCACGACCACGACCACGACGGCCAGAACCACGACGACGACGACGGCCACGACAGCGTCAACGAGCAGCGGCACACGGCGGCGGCCCGCCAGCAGCCCGCGCGGTGGCGGCAGGAACGGCCCACGCCGCGACGGTCCCGACGGCCCCGACTCGGAAAAATTGTTGCGGGCGCTTGTGAAGAAGGCCCCGCCGCCACGGCCAGTTGGCAGCCCAAAGGCTGGCCGGGTCGCGCCGTCCTGGGCATGCTTCGGAGCCCCCGAGAGGAGCGTCCAGCTCGCGGATCCACGCGTCTGCCGATGCTGGAACCGAGATCGCACTCGTTTCCTGGGCGTTTTCCTCCGCACACAGCTGCGGCGCGCTTCCCCGTTGCCCGAAAACTTGCATATGCCGTGCTACAAAAGTGGCTTCGAACACCACAGGTCCATTTTCTGGATTTTCATTGATTGCACCATTGATTTTGAACAGATCTTTCAACAATTAGGCTTGCCGAGGGGGTTCTGACTTTGTGAAAGGTCAATGCTTACTAATGTTCCGTTGTCCGTTGCTCGGAGGTTCCCCGGGTTCCCCCGCTTCACAGGTCCCCCAGGTTCCCTGGGTGCCTCATGCCAAGCAACGCAAAGCAATGCCAAGCAATGCCCAGCCCCAGCAACAACAAGCTGAGCCAAGCTGAGCCAAGCAATGCCAAGCAATGCCAAGCAGTGCCCAGCAATGCCCAGCAATGCCAAGCAATGCCCAGCAATGCCAAGCAATGCCAAGCAATGCCAAAAAATGCCCAGCAATACCAAGCAATACCAAGCGATGCCAAGCACTGCGCCCACGCAATAAGAAGCTTCCCTTCATTGAGGTCGCACTGGGCTCATGCGCAGAAGACGGCGAAGACACTGACAATGACAACGACGACAACGACGAGGACGACGACGACGACAACAACGACGATCACGACCACGACGAAAACGACGACGACGACGACGACGACGACAACAACGACGACAACGAAGATGACGACGACGACGACGACGGCTACGAAGACAACGGCGAGGACGGCGACGACGACGACGACGGCGACGACGACGGCGACGGCGACTGCGACTTCGCCGGCGACGGCGACGATGGCGACGGCGATGACGACGACGACGACGACGATGACGACGACGAAGGCGGCCACCACCGCCGCGCCACCGTCGTCGTCGCCACTGCCGCCGTTGCCGTCGGTCGCCGCTGAGCCGCGAACAGAAAAGGTGTCCAGCGCCATGACGAAGCGGCGGGGACGAGGAAGAGGACGACGAGGGCGCCACGAATGCGACGAGGGCGAGGACAAGGAGAAAAACGGCGTGACGACGACGACGACGACGACAACAACAATGACAACGACAACGACCACAAAGACGACGACGACGACGACCACCACCACCACAAAGGCGACGGCCATCGCCACCGCCAGAACCACGAGCCGAAGGAGAAGGAGGGAGGAGGAGGAGGAAGAGGATAAGGAGGATGAGGAGGGAGAGAAGGAGAAAGAGGAGAAAAATGAGGAGGACCTGCAGGAGGATAGAAAGAGAGAGAGAGAGAGAGAAACAAAAGAGGAGCAGGAAGAGCAGGAGGAGCAGTATCAGGATGAGGAGAACGACCACAAAGACGACGACGATGACGACAACGACGACGACGACGACGAGGCGACAGGTAGAGGCGGGCCTCTGAGCGGAGCCTCGACCTGGCGGAGCTCGCGCGCGGCTGGGCGCAGGCCTCTGCACGGCCCGGCGAAAGGGCGGCCCGGGCGGAGGCTCCTCGCAGGGCTGCGCCGGCCCATCGACCGCTCCGTCGCTCCCTCCCCGCCTCCCCTGGCCCGAAAAACATCGCGCCGGGAGTCCTTCGCCGTCTCGGCCCAGCCTAGAGACCTCCTAGATGGGGTCCGAGCAGATGGGGTCGAAGGATCGCGCTGCACCGCCGATGCCTCGGCGATGCACCGGCGACGCATCGGCGATGCACCGACGATGCGTCGGCGATGCACCGGCGACGCCAGCGCAAACAAAAAATCGGGCTCCGCGTCGAGACGCCTCGCCGATGCACCGGCGATGCATCGGCCATGCGGCTCCATCCGCCGACCCCATCTATCATTGCACCGGCCTTGCAGACGTGCTGCAGCGTATTTCTGCATGGACTTCTGCGTGGAGTTTTGCCCGAAGCGGTGAGCGAAAAACGAAGTGAATTTCGCATGGATTTCTTTTTGGTTTTCATTCCTGGCCAAAAAATCTGCACGAAATTCACCTCGAAATCTGGAACGAGATTCTCCAGGACACTCCAAGCCCACCCGATCGTTTTCCGAACGAACTCTGCTCTGCGAAGTGGGCGCCATGACATCTACTCCGACCCCAGCTAGGAGGCCTAGACCATCGTGGCCTCCTGGGCGCGAAGGTCTCGCTGGGAAACCTTTGGGGAGGGTCTGGGGAGTCTTCTGCCTGGGAGCCTATAAGGCGCGATCTTGATTGCTGAGGGGAGGGAAGCCAAAAGCGGGAACCACGATCACACGACAAGTGGTGCAGACGCCAGCGTGAAAAGGGAAGAAAAATCGCACTGCGATCCGCGCCTTGCTCGCTCTGCGAGAGGCACGCCGTCACGCGTGCAGCGACCTCGCCGAGCAGACCCCCCGTCGGGCAAGGTGCTCGCGGCAGGGACGGGATGCCACCAGACCACACAGAGAACACAAAGCAGGCCGAAGAGAAAGCGCGGGAGGCGGGGGCGGCGAGGGCCGAGCGGGCGGCGGACACCCTGGCGGCAGCGGGGGCCGCGGAGGCGGCGGCGGGACTGCGGCGGCGGCGGGGCCCCCGGCGCCGGGGAGATACGAAGGCGGCGGCGGCGAGGGATGCCGGGGGGAGGGAGCAAGGGGGGAGGGAGCGAGGGGGGGCAGGCAAGCTAGGTGCGCTCGCGTCATATCTGACGTCCTACCCCTCCCTCCCATCCCTTACCATGGCGCTGATTTTCTCTATCCGCGGACGCGTGTCGTAGCGGACCTGTGGCTCCTCGCGCGCGTGCGTAGTGGGTGGTGGTGCACGTGCGTGCGTGCGTGCGGTGTGGCGTGGTCTGCGTGGTGGTGGTGGTGAGTGGTGGTGGTGGTGGTGGTGGTGGTGGTGGTGGTGTTGGTTGGGTGGTGGTGGTGGTGGTGGTGGTGGTGGTGGTGGTGGTGTGGTGTTGGTGGTGGTGGTGGTGGTTGGTGGTGGTGGAGTGGTGGTGGTGGTGGTGGTGGTGGTAGGTGGTGGTGGTTTTGGTGGTGGTGGTGGTGGTGGTGGTGGTGGTGGTGGGGTGGTGGTGGTGGTGGTGGTGGTGGTGCTGGTGCGGGTGGTGGTTGTTGGTGGTGGTGGTGGTGGTGGTGGTGGTGGTGGTGGTGGTGGTGGTGGTGGTGGTGGTGTGGTGGTGGTGGTGGTGCGGCGCGGTGGTGGCGGGCGGATGGGCGCGCGAGAAAGAGGCCCGCGCTGGGGCGAGAAACGCCATCCTGAACGACGGAGGCCAAACACCGATCCGAAAATGAGGCCCACGCTGCAGCGGGAGCACGATTCGGAACGATTCGGGAGCAGAAGTGAGTCGGGCGCCTCAGCGAGAGCAGCATTTTGGAAAAAAACGCAGGCGAAAACCCGTTTCCCGGGAATCCTGTGTGTAAAAAAACAGTACGCGGGGGGGGTCGGATATCTTCGGGACGCCATCCGGGGAAGTGGGAGAGTATTTTCATATTGTGTAATTGTGGAGGGGAAAGGGGAGGGAGGGATGGACTGCAAGGGAGCGGAGGGTGAGGGAGGGCGGCGGGTGAAAGAGAGAAAGAGGGGGGGGCAATAAAGCAAGGTGCCGAAACAAGGCTGGCTTCTGGTTAGGACCCTGGGGCTGGAAAAACGGCTCGTAAGGACGAAGAAGCCGGTCCCGGGGCAGCGGTCGCGAGAGCTGACGGGGCCAGCGGCTCGGACAAATTTGAGCCGTCGGATGACTGGATCCTCCCGCCTCCTAAGAGCGACCCGGCTTCCTTGGCTCCCCAGTGGCCACCTTCTATATTCTCCTTCACCTTTCGGTGGCAACTCATGGGAGCCTCCCAAACCATCTGATCGGCTCTTGCGAATCGATGCTAGTCGACGTTAAATCGACGCTAATCGACGCTATATCGACGCTAATCGACGCTAACGGACGCTAAATCGGCGCTATCTCATCCCAGACGCTGCGCGACACTAATCGACGCTAAAGACAAACTTAAAAAGGGTAGACCAAGCTCCCATGATTTGCTACCGAGTCACCTCATGCGCGCGTGCCGCTTACAAACACCAGGCAGCTGATGCTAGCGGCGGTGCGCACTACGAAGATCAACGGGGGCCCATCCAGCGAGTGCACCAGCCCTGCCTGGCAGGCCAGCACGGAGCCAGACCCGTCTCGCCTCTACGGGGCAGTTTTTAGTACATAGGATTTTCGAAAATATCGGATTTTTAATGCATGATAGATTTATGAATAAATTTATGCATGAACTCATCGTTGTTTTTAATACTAAATCCCTGCATTTTAAAAACATGATCCGCACGCGGAGCATGTATTAAAAACGGCACTGTATGTGTGATCGTACGAGAACGTTTTCATTTCACCAGAACACACGTCATCTGGGAGCGATGGCCGGGCATCCGACTGTTTCGCTGTGGCCAGCTCCACAGAAGTAGGCATCTGTACACGATCGGCCTGTGCACACGCGCGCGCGCGCACCCCCGTGCGCAGAGACCCACGCACGCGCGCAGGCCCATTTGCCAGCCTGCCCCAACCGACCCCCCGACAGGCACGAACGACTAGGTTGGGTTATTGTGGTTGGGGGGAGGGTGCGAGGACCGACAATCCGGGTCACCGCCAGACCCCTAGAAGAACGCCCCAAGGATCAGGCTTCGTGCTGGACGTCAAGAAGACGCCGCATGCCGTTCTGCGCGTCTTCCATACGCGCTGTCGCACCAGCTGCGATAGCCTGAGACGCTGTCCGTGCACGCCTCGGAGACTTCGGCAGTCACCTCCTGCACGACAGCGGTCTCCCCAGCTGCCCTGAGAGCTGCTGGAAGATGCCGTGTGGAACCTGTCCGTGGAGCCAACCACAAAACTCTGGACCACGAAGCGACGTGATCGGCACCACGAGGATCTTCTGCAAGATCACGGGGGGGTACTGCCAACAGGGGGCCGGAGGCCTCCTCGCTGCACGGTCGGGGAGAACTTCGAGCACTGCGCGGTGTCCAATGATGCTGGCGGCCGACGCCAGCATAGTGCAAGCGTGGCATAGAAGTCACATCAGTCCAACGGGCCAGTGAACAGCCCGACCGCAACACGCGAGGGTACGACCGCGCCCATGCAATGCGAGGACACAGACGCCTACAGGAATGGCGCTGCCCAATGTGCCGATGATGGAGAGAGCGCGAACGAACAGCATGGGGATACCGCACAGCATGAGTTCATGCGCACGCCACGTTGCAGCGAGGCTGCGGAACCATGGACCAGAGCGCGGCGAGTGGCCCGAGGGCCCACGGGGTGCGCGCGCCCGGCAGCCGCACGGGCCCAGCTCAGCCGAGGCCTCAGCCGAAACAAAGCTGCTCCGCGCTTCGTCATCGGCGCCGTGGGCGGGAGCAGCCTCACCCGAAGGACCACATGTCCAGATTTTCTTGAAAGCGCTGGTTCCCTAGGAAGACGCCGGGGGGCCTGTAATGATCGGGAGCGGCCAAGAGGGGGGTGTCCAAGAGGGGGGGTGCAAATCATGACCAGCGGCATGTGCGCGGCCGAGCGGGGGGGCCAGGGACGTAATGAAATAAGAAGAGGCGCCATGAAATCTGGGGAAATATCATGGCCCGCGCCATGATATCCACCCCCCCCCTAGTCATCACCCCCCTCTTTGCCGCCCCCGAAATGAGGCGCGCTGCTGCGTGCGCGCACGCCCGCATCTGCGGCGCGCTCTGCGGCCGGTCGAGGCTCGAGCCCATGAGGCCGCTCGAGGCGTCCGGGGCTTCGGGCAGGAGCAGAGCGCTCCGCGCGACACACGGCCCGAGAGCTCGCATTGGGGCCGTCGTGTGGGGCCTCCTGGGCCGTCCTGGGGCTCTCTTGGGCTGTCTGGGGGTGCTCTTTGGGGCCTGTTGGGCCGCCCTGGCGCGATCTCTGGGGCCGAGCGTCGAGGTCCTCGAAGAGAGCACGGGGGAACTCCATGACTTTGGCCTCGTCGGGCCGTCGTCGGGCCCTCGCCGACGGGCCCCCCGACCGCAGGCAGGGCGCGCCCGCGCGCCGCAGCGCGCGGCGCACCGCGCGGCGCGCTGCGCCAGCGAGGCCCTGTCGGCCCCACCCGGGGGGGGTCCCCGCCCGCGCGGTCTTCACGAGCGGCCCCGCAGGGCCGACGCCGAGCACGGCGGGCGCGCTCGCCCCGCGCAGCGCTGACCCCTGGCGGCCCAGGCGTGCGCGCCCACGACAGTCCGACCGGCAGGCAGCACGCCCTGGCCCGCTCCAAGGGGAGGAAAAGCATGATCGACGAGACACTGCCCGCAGGGAACCCCTCGGCGTAAAGACTGCTGAAGAAGCTCAAGGCTGGCGTGCCTGCCTTCTTCACCGACGACTGTGCCAGATTAGCTGCCGCACTGTGCTCCTCGGGAGACCTACGGCAACGGGTTCTATACACGAAGATGGCACCGCGGTGCGTGACCAGGCACTGCATCCTTCGAGACACAGCCCAAAAGGGACAACGACCCTCTTGGCACGCGACGAAAGAGATAAAACCAGCAACCCCCTGTTCAAACCTCCTGCCTGGGCCAACGCTGTCGCACAGAGACGACGACGCAACACGCTGACAGGCTCCCGACGGCAGCGTGCCACTCACGCTCCCCTGGCCCTCCGATGCCATTGCTGTCTCCGACGCGCGGGGCCCCATCGGAGCTCTGCCCAGGGCATGTGTCTCGTCCTGGATCGCTGTTCGACGGCTCCGGGGCCCGGCGAGGACCCCCAAGCTCCAAAAACCCACAAAAACATACAAAAAAACACCTGGATTGCCTCCGTAATGCGCAGGACGTCTTCCCTCCCGAGCTCCGCTGTGCGAGCGCTGCCACCCCCGCGGCGCACAGGGCGGCCCCCACGCCGGCGGCGCAGCGGCCACGGAGCCGCCGGCGCCCCGCCCCCATGGCGCCGCAGGAGAGAAAGGCCGCACGCGACGCGCAGCGCCTGCTCGAGCGGCCGCAGGTGCGCACGCTGAGACAAGCGGTGACAAGACAAGATCCTCCTCCTCCTCCTCCTCCTCCTCCTCCTCCTCCTCCTCCTCCTACCCCTCCTCCATCCTCCTCCTCGCTCCTCTCCTCCTCCTCCTCCTTACTTCACTCTCTCCCCTCTTCTCCTCCTCCTGCTCTCTCCTCCTCCTCCTTCTTCTCCTCCTCCTCCTCCTACTGCTCCTCCTCCTCCTGCTCCTTCTCTCATCCTCCTCCTCCTCCTCCTCCACAATTACACAATATGAGAATACTCTCCCACTTCCCCTGATGGCGTCCCGAAGATATCCGACACCCCCCCGCGTATTGTTTTTTTACACACAGGATTCCCGGGAAACGGGTTTTCGCTTGTGTTTTTTTTCAAAATGCTGCTCTCGCCGAGGCGCCGGCCTCATTTTCGGGCCCCGCTCGTTCCGAATCGTGCTCCCGCTGCAGCGCTGGCCTCATTTCCGTGCTTCCGCTCGTTCCGAATCGTGCTCCCGCTGCAGCGCTGGCCTCATTTCCGCGCTTCCGCCCGTTTCGACTCGTGCTCCCGCTGCAGCGCTGGCGTCATTTCCCGTGCCATGCCACAGCACACGCGCACACACGCACACACACACACACACACACCACCACCACCACCACCACCACCACCACCACCACCACCACCACCACCACCACCCCTACCACCAGCACCACCAGCACCACCAGCACCACCAGCACCACCAGCAGCATCACCACCACCACCACCACCAACAACAACACCAGCACCAGCACCACCACCACCACCACCATACACCACTACCCACCAACCACCACCCACCACCAACACCACCACAACCACGCACACACGCACGCACGCACGCACGCACGCACGCACACCACACCCACTGTCCGCGGATAGAGAAAATCAGCGCCATGGTAAGGGATGGGAGGGAGGGGTAGGACGTCAGATATGACGCGAGCGCACCTAGCTTGTCCCCCTCCCCCTCCCCCTCCTCCCTCCTCCTCCTCCGCTCCTCTCTCTTCCTCTCCTCCTCCTCTTCCTCCCTCCTCCTCCTCCTCTCCTGCTACTCCTCCTCCTCCTTCCTTTCTCCTCCTCTCTCCTCCTCCTCCTCCTCCTCCTCCTCCTCCTCCTCCTCCTCCTCCTCCTCCTCCTCCTCCTCCTTCTCCCTCTCATCCTCCTCCTCCTCCTCCTCCTCCGCCGCCGCCGCCGCCTCACTCCTCCGCTGCGGCAGAGTTGCACACGAGTCGTCCGCGGATAGAAGGTGCCCGCGGGTAGAAGTCGCAGGATGCGTCCAGCGCAGCGGCTGCTCCGGAGCTCTGATAGCTTTCTGGGACGCTCTGGAGCGAGCTTGTGCTCTTCCCGGCCACTCTGCGGTAGCGCGACCTCTGTGGGCTGCCAGTGGTGGCAGCTTCCCAAGGCACCCGGCCAACGACTAGCAGGGAGAGAAGGAGAGAGAGAGAGAGATAAAAAAAGAGAGAGCAATAGAGAGAGAGAGAGATGGGAGCAGGATGTAAAAACGCTCCCAAGGGAGCCCCAAGTGGAACCCAAAAGGCGCCCTAGAGGCATGAAGCAAGAGGTCCCCCCAAGAGGCCCGCGAGAAGCTCCCAAACGACACCGAAGAGGCCTCAAGAGGCTCCTCAGGAGCACCTACGGCACTGCGAGAGGCCTCCCAAGAGCGGGTAAGAGGCCCAAAGACGCCGTAAGCAACCTCTTTGAGTTCAGGACAACTCCGCTGGGGTCTGGATGGGCTGGTGGGAAGGGATACGCGAAGCATGAAAAGTATGGCACCTAGCGTAGACGATGATGTGCGGAATAGACAGACGGAAGAGAAGGAGGGGGAACAGGGGGGAAGACCACAGGCCTCCCAGTCAAGCGAGAGCTCCACTTTGAAAAGCATATACTCTGCACAACTCTCGGTATAAGGAGCGCGGGGAGGTAGGATCACATAGCGCAGCGAACTTTCCAACGGCAGCCCCGTTTTGAAAAAGTGCAGCCCTCCATCCTGCGCAAGATGAAATTGCTGGACGTAAAATTGAGGAAGTTCTCAATGAAAGTCCCACTGTGAACAGAAACAGCCGTCCGCCCGTGCAAATGTTGCACACTGTTGTCCTGGCCATAAAAACTGAAAAGTCCGACACACAAGCACACATTCAAAGAGGACCTGCACTTCGCCTCCGCCCCTAGAATTGCTGCAACTACTAGGACGAAAGCGCGCGACGCTAAAGCGAAAACCGCATTTCGACACACGCACATACAGAATCAAGAAAGAGCATCAACCATTGCAATGGATCGAACTTGTTCTAGCGAACATGCGCCTCGCTTGTGCCAGAGCCAGATTTTGAAAGCGAGCCGCCCTCGCTCCCCGAAGCTGCTGGACAAGACGAAGGCGTTCGGCGCGCACACGAGGGCCACTTCTTGAAAACGGCCCGCCCCCCATCCGTGCAGCTGTTGACCACGTCAAGGCTCAGCGTCATAAACGGTTGGGTTGTCTCAGGCGCCCGCCCCGCCCGACCAAAACGTCTGCTGGTATGACGGGGAAGACTTGTGTATGAAGAAAAAGGCTGGAGGAGATGGGTAGAAAAGGGGTGGAGGGGCAAAAGGGGGATCTGCAGGAGGATCGGCAGGAGGGGCAGGAAGAAGAGGGGATAAATGATGAAGAGAACTGGAGGGACATGTAGGAGGCAAACAGACCCCGATGCCAAGAAGCTGCGCGCGGCCGAAAAAAAAAAAACACGTGAAAACGACATAGCACCCAATCATGTCTAGAACGCAACACTGCGCGCGAAGCTTCACAGAACCTTTAGACAGGAATAGTGAAACTTCTACCAGTCGGAATTACTCCCAAGGCTCACCAGAGAAGAACTGGACCATACATACACACCTACACATGGGTGCGGGATGAGGATGCAATCCGACGTAAGCCGCACAACCACGACGAAAGCGAAGGTTTGTCTGCAGCCCCTAAACACACGCATATGGCCGCCATGAACACGACGCCACATGTTAGACACAGAAGTCGTCTCACAATCGGCCATACCAAAATGAACATCCACCGAAGGCGTCACAGACCGGCACGACGGAGAATAGCATGACCACACAGGAAGGCACAAGGAACTGTAATCAGGTGGTGCGGATGGGAGGCCAGCCCGACGTCATATCAAATGTCTGCCGCCACGCCTAAAAAAACGTCGAACTGTTACGCGCAATGTAAATGGTCCAAGTGCGCAGCCCGGGGTAGCGGATCCGATCAGCCAACGACAGGACCAACGACTCCCACTACACCCAACGAGTAGAGGTCAGGAGAGTAGAGTCAGGAGGTGCCATACTCCAAGAGAGATCAGAAAAGGCATTCTGCTCTCCGGCTGGCAGATTCCACTTGTCTCTGAAAGAATTAGCAAACAAGTTCGCTTTATCTACAGAAGAAACAGCCCAGCTCCCGTCTTCCCTCTTCAAAGGAGAGCTAACCGTTTTACCCTTCTTGCTTAAAATTTGCTCTGCAAACCGCCACCACTTTTTACTTCCACGCCGCTGTTGCGACAGCTGCCAGCGCGCGCGCGTGATAAAATCATTGTGGGCGGTCATTAGAGTTTGGCTACACTGCAGACAGTGGAACGGATAGTGCTCAGTACCCGCAGCGGCAGCTTTCGCCTGAACAGCTTCAATACAGTCTTCTGTAAGCCAAGGGTGCGACGGCCTATAAGAAAGAGGGGCACTAGGAATGCAAGTACGAATAAACTGAAGTAAGATGGATGTAAAACGCTGCACGACTCCGTCGGGCTCTCCGCTGGATATCCAATCCCAGCTTGCACTCCGAATTAATGCCTTCAGACCCCGCCAGTTCGCACTCCCGTAGAGCCACACATCACGCCTCAGAGTCTCCAGCGCAAGAGGGGGAGCAGAGAAACGAATCGAAAGAGCACGATGGTCCGTGATTTCGCTTAAAACCTCAATTGTCACCGACTCTCGGGCGTCACTCAAAACAAGATCAAGCAAATAAGCGCCCCGAGTTGGAGAACGAACGCACTGTTTTAATCCCTCCTCGTATGCAAAACGTTTCAAATGTGACCCCTCCGGTGTCACAGAATGACTAAAACGCAGCCAATGGGTGTGATGGACATTGAAATCACCTACTATTATACTATTCACTGCGTGTGCGCGAAGGGAATTCCATTCCTCTCGTAAAGTATCAAGTGAAGCAATCTCTCCGTAGCATGGATGTCCATACAAGCATCCAAGCAACAAAGGGCCAGAACTGCAATGCACTAAAATCCATACTATCTCTGCTGAGGGAGATTCAAGGAGCAAGGAACAGGAAGAGACTAAAGAATCAATGACAAACACAATTACACCACCAACCTGCTGATTACTGTCCTTCCTCGCAAGAGCTGTATACCCGTGCAGCTGCGGATGCGTCACTGAAGCATTCAACCACGATTCGGAAAGACAGACAACATGGGGAAGAGAAGCGAATAGAGAGAGTCGAGCAGATAATTCACCGGAATGAGCGCTAAAAGAACGAATATTCGCATACAAAAATTGTGAGGTCCAGGTCATACACAGGCGGCGTTAACTGGGAGTTGCCACAGCTACCGCCTGGAGGGAAGGATTGTCCATCAAAATGGCTTTCGATTACGACGGTTAAAAAACTCATGGAGAGAAGTTTGCCGACCGTGAGAAGAAGCAGCTGCTGGAGATGCAGAAACCGACCTCGACAGCAGGGGCCTCCTGTTTCGAATTTTGCCTGAAGCCTGACATGTGAGCCCACTGGCACTATCAGCCGGGACGGCCGAGGAGGAAAAAGCAAAAACAGTGCGAGTAGTGAAGAGGCCGGCATTCGGGAACGAAAATCCGTCCTCCGAATTCGCCGGCCTAAGGCCTGTCGAAAATCCGTCCTCTCCGCGCAGAGGCCTAAGGCGGGTCGAAAAACAATTAAGGCTCGAACTGCCGACCGAGACTGCCGAATGACGGCTACGAGACACCT